TGTGTGTGTGTGTGTGTGTGTGTGTGTGTGTGTGTGTGTGTGTGTGCATTCGAATGTTGCACACTCATATATTATTATAAACTGGGAGTAGTTAAGAATAGGGTTTTACACATATTCATGATTCACAGTATAAATTATGTAGTGATTAATTAAGTGACTCCAATTTTTTTGTAGAAGAACTATTAGTCCTACTCCACGTTCTGTTCATAGCCAACTCAAGTTGATTACAAAATAGCGTTAGACAGGGTACTGTCCATTATCCATAATTCCTCCTATATTTATATATAAGCGTTGGCTCTCCTAATAAAACTTTGTTCGTTACATCGTGATGAACGCAGAACCCAGGCCAGGTCCCTCACCAACAACATGCTAAAATACCACACGCGAGGACATTTGCATCGGGATCGAGGAACAAGGATATTTTGTGCCTGGCTCGGGGCGTGAGCCCCTTTTCGGCCTCCGGTTGGAAATACCAGGTGTTTTAACATCGGATTACATCAACAACTTCCTCCAGTGTCCATACATCTGTAACACGGGTTGGAGTACTGGGAAGGCCTTGGACACGTGCAACGTCATCTGGTGCCAAGATAACGTACGTTAATACCAGTGGGCTTTCACACGTGCCAACGCAGACACCCACCTGGTTCAGAGGCCAACGGACACCAGTTATAAAAGAGTTTGAAGTGCTCGATAATATTATCAACTGGCCGAATTTTCTCGCCCATGGACTCAGGCAGATCCATCTAGAAGGTCTGTACGTAGAACACCGCGAAGAAGAATACAACCGCCTTATCGTCGCAGTGCCTTATCGTCGCAGTAATCCGTTGTCTGGGAGCGGAGAGGTCGTCGAACTCAAGTAACTGCGGGTTCAAGAAGGGCCGGTTTTCGCTTCCATCGTGGAATGCCAAGCTCGACCACAGCATTGTAACTCAAATCTCATCTCCAAATACGTCAGAGCCGCCCAAGAAGCGCCAACACGAATTAGAGCTTTCACGAGGCAATAATACCGGAGATAAAGACAAGGAGAAAGCAGCAAGATATAAGGCTGCCAATGACAAGGTAAAAGCAGCAAGATATAAGGCTGCCAAGGACAAGGCTGCCAAAGATAAGGGTGGCAAACCGAAGGACGGTGTAAATGACTAATTCGACCGCGCCCCCTTCACTCTATCTTAAGGTTCGAAGTGTTATTAACAGATGGAGGGAACATGGCGCAAACAAGGATCTACTGGAAACAATCAAGTATAGCGTACGGCCGACTTGGGGGCTTTTGGGGGATCCACCAACATCAAGAATGGGGCGATGGATAAATATATCTGAAGTAACAGCCCCAATGATCAACACAGAACTACACATACTACAATCAGGAGTGATCGGGAAGTGCGAGGAGTGCGAGGCATATCTGATACACCCCGCCTTTATCATTCCGAAATCAGACGGCATTCGAGCTCGTCTGACTCTGAACTCGGCGAGTATAAACAGTCACGCAGAAAAGAAAAGAAAAAATCGAGCAGAAGGCCTAGAACGGCTGGGAGAAGTTTCACGGAGGGGGGATATAGCTATGTCCGCGGACATCAAAGACGGATTCTATGCATTAGCTGTGGCCAATCCCCGCCTTTGGCAATTCCGGGACAACACCTGTCAACTTTGGTGCTTCCTGGTCCTGCCAATGAGGGCGTCGTTTTCATCGGCTTGGTTCAAACTCATGATGGATGTAGTCAGGAACGCCCTGCGACGAAAGGGAATCCGAATAGTATTATACGTCGACGAACTCCTGCTCCTCGGCCGCTCGAAGAGAATCATCCTACGGCATCGCAGGAATGTCGTCCATCTATTCAATAACCTAGGACTTTAGTTCGCCGGAGGCAAGGGTCACTGGATACACCCAGTGACACGCCTGCAACACCTAGGCGTTCTCATCGACTTTCAGAAAAACAATATAATTATGACTATGGAATTCAAAGAAAATTTACGCCGCCTCGGAGTAGCCATCAGAGCAATGGGACTCAAAAACAAAGGTTGAGCCGAGACTCTGGCAATCGTACTTAGGCTGCCTCCAGTGGGCAGCCTTTTCCGTACTCAGCTTCTAACCATTCATTGCCGATCTCCAGCAGACGATCCCATGGACGAACTCATCTCATGTCCGCCTTTCAGGGGCGATATTAAAACAATAGAGCGCATGACGTCACTCATCGAGATCTTTGAGAAACGACAGATTTAGGTGTCGGATCACCAAGCGACGATGACGTCCGATGCATCCAAGACGGGCTTCGGAGCCACCTTACATTGACACCAACGAACACTGACATTCGCAGGCCGCTGGAATACAACCGAAATAAAGTGGCCAATCTCCATCCTAGAACTCAAAGGCCTCATAATGGCCTTCGAGTTCTTCCACCAACAACACAATATCGGCTCAACATTCCTCTTATGGCTCACGGACTCAACCACGGCCTTCACGCCCTACGAAAGTGGCGCAGCCAATCCAAGCCCATGAATGCTCAGCTCCGGATACTCGTATGGTACTGCACCAAGAACCAGACCCAATGGCCAGTAACTCTCGGCTATATGATAGGTAAGCTTAACATAGCAGCAGACATGCTGTCGAGGCAAGGCTCACTCCTCCAGTATCACTGGACTGTGACAGCCGCAGTTCTGGAGCTCTTCGACCGATGGCGAATCAAACTCGACCCACAGGACCGCCCTTACCCGGATTCCTACTACCTCAATAGGGGACATCATGTCCAAGTGCGCTTTGCCAACTATTATCATACAAAATGGGACCAATCTCTGGATCTCCTGGCACCACCGGAAACC